GATCTTCATGATTCCGCGTATGTTCTTGTTTTGGGTGTACCGGTGCTTTCACAGCCGTGCTGCTACAAGAAGGACAATGCATGAGAAAATCCCTTGCTAAGAATAGTGAGGCCATTCTTTTTTTTTTTTTTTTTTTTTTTTTTTGAAATGCATGGATCTTCTTGTGCAGGAGTTACCGATTTGAAAATATCCCTCCATTCTTCACAATCGAATGCATTACTTTCGGTGCATCAATACACACGTGGGTATGTTGTGGCTGAGCGCGGCGCCGCGTGCTGAATGCTGAATGTGCCGCTTGGTGGGCAGCCAGTCTGAGTCCTGCTGGTGGCGTGTGCGTGAGAGAGGTGGTGAGCGGCACCTAGGTGTCTAGTTCTAGTTACTTAGTTTACGCCTGCGATCCGACCCGAGCTCTGGCTCTTCTTCTATTCTGTGGGAGGAGAAACGGCAGAGGAAGAAGGGTGGGTGAATAGACTGCGACCAAACGTGGAAAGAAAAACCGAGAGACAACCGTCCGTCGGCTCCGTCGAGCATGGGTCCTAGTCCTAGTCCTGGTGGACACTAGGTAAACGGAGCCACGAGGCTTGCTGCTGACTTGACGTTTTCGGCCAGGAACAGTGACCCCCGCCCAGATCCATCATCCGAATCGAAGTCCCTTGAAGTTACCAGGTATCCGATGTGCCGAATGGTAGTTTTTTGCATCAAATTGGGAAACCGGTCAATGCGTGGAGCCTGGGGCATATTATATCGATGCAAGTAACTGTTGTTTGACCAGGTTGATCCACTGGCTAGACCGCGCGCTTACGACGATCGAGCGAGTTTTGCAATACGCATGATCGGCCCCAAACTTGAGCCGGTAGTCAATGATTGTTTGCTTTGTACGGAATTCTGTAGCCATGAATAGCCGGAGAGGGGCGAGGGAGGAAATTCCATTGTACCTGTAGCCTCACCTTGGCGCTCTCGAGCACTGTGAAGCTACGGGGGATGTTTTTCTTGTAGGTCGAAACAAGACTTTTACCCGCAGGTTGTAGGTAGTAGTAGTATACTGTAGACAAGAGCGTCTCCGGCTGTGCTGCATGTTGTAAGCCATCGATAGGGTATTCGCGCACCTTGGGACAGAGTTAGTGGTCAGCTTGAGTGGGATTGGCGAAAGCGACAATGAGCAGCAGTTTCGAACAACATAGCAAGCAAGCCAAACTACTACTGTGCAGGCGTCAAGCTCAGTTAGTTTCGCTGTATGACTGCAGCAAACGCTGCCGTTCGATGAACCAGCTGCAAGTGGCTATCTCCCGGGAGCCCGGCAGTGGTTCAATCTTGTGCGACAGGCAATAATGAAGCCTCATCCCATTTGTCCTTGTCAGAATGCCAAGACCAGTTGCGGAGAATTGTAGATATCCTATCTCCTCGGTGGTCGGGTCCCTGGTTAACTGGTAGGTAAGATTGATGTACTTTGTACACAGACGCACACACACACAACTCACTTAAATACTGCAGTACCACACGCACTCAAGGTACACACCCAGAAGGAGCTTGTTCTGCGGCTCCCAGCCTGATCAAAGGCTTCATCCCCAGGATGACAGGCAGAAGAAATAAAGTTCCCTCTGCGCTTATAAATCGACAGACTGTAAGCTGACCTACAAACGAGTAGTAGCGGATTGCACGGAGACCGTTGAACAGGTCGTAGCCAGGCTAAACAGAGCCCGTGGCGTGGAGTTTTCTATTCATCTGAAGCCAGCTTAGCTCCACATAACCTTAATCGGACCACGCGGACGTTTCCCTCCATGGACACACCCCGTTGGGTTTTGAATTCTTTTTGCTGTGACGGCACACGTCGGATGTTTGTCAGTATCCATGTTGAAACGGATGAAAGAAGTTGGTGGATGTAAATGGTTCAATGTTGGTTGTCTCTTGGCGATTCCGTTGATTTGGTTGGTTGGTTGGTTGGTTCAAGGGAAGGGATTTTAATCAATTGAACGGATCCATGGTTATTAGCGGGGATTCTGTGTCAGTGAATCACCACCGGTTGGAAATCGCGAGCGTCCAAGGAGAGGAGCAAGCACGGACGGGTAAGAAGGGAAGCGAGGAGGCATCAAAGAGATGCATGGTATGTAGGTACCTTGCCAAACAGGAGGAGAAAACGAGCGCCTTGTTCGTCGTACTGCAAGGCAGGGCAAGGATTGTTGTACATACCTGAGAGGTAACTAAGGTGGGCACGTAGCCAGCGCAGGATGCGACTTGTAGTAGTGGTGACAAGCAGGCCATGGGGGAGTTTGTAAGTGTATGTGCATAGGCCCATCCACTGTAACCGGACTGGACTTCAACGATGAACTGATTAACAGAAGACGGGAATCACAGTCGAGCTAACGTAGATGAAGCTAAGAGCCTGGCATTATACTATCACTACTCCTCACACATGAGATGAAATGGGATACTCGCGGCGTACCTAGGCAAATAGAAAGCATGTGGTTGACATCTCATATTCGGTCTGAAATGGGAAAAGGGGAAAAAGTAAGGCAGGCGAATGCAAGTAACCTTACCTCAGTGCAGGTAGGAAAAAATGTGCTAGGTAGGTAATGTAATGTAGGTGGGCAGACAAGGCCAGTGATGTACTTAGCAGTTAGGATGGGTACCAGGTTAGGCACCTTCCCGGTCTACATATTGATTGGTGTCCAGCCATGGATGTCATCAACCAGCTACAACCTTTTGTGCCTAGCGACCTACCTTACTTTACGTACCTACATCACATAGGGGGTCGTCCTCCCGCAACTGGGGGTTCACAACGATCTCGAAACATGAGCAGCTACATACAATCATAGGTGGTTCAATGCCGTCGTTGCTTCTTTTGTAGTTACATTGCTCGAGAGGGCACACATTTTCATCATACCTCTACCAGCTCTGGAATCCATTGATTTGCTTGCTGCAGTGTGTGTCTGTCTCTGTGTGTCGCATGAATCGCAGCAGGTCGTGACGTTGCCGAGCGCCGCGCCCCATCCAGTCGGTACAGCGCGAAACCTGGCCGGAAAGAAAGAAAGAAAGAAAGAAAGAAAATTCCATGTTTGTTTGTTTGATTAAATGGTGGATTGAAACCCAGCCGACAGGCAAATTTTAAGATTTCGCAAGGTACTCAACCATGTCCATTGCAGCGTGTTAGGCATGGGTATATGCATAGTTGACCCGCAGAGTTGCGACCACGAATCCCGAATCCGCTCATGATCGTCGCAGCTATTTTCTTCTTTGCTTACTGGCCAAGCATCAGTACACAGATCACATACGAGGAGTACTGAGTTGCGCCCAATGATTCGAGAAAGATGATGAGTGACCCGTCCCGCACAACAATAAGAAGAAGAAGAAGTATTTCCCGCGATACTGTTGACTCAATTTGAAAACATGGCAGTGTTGCATACATAGTCCCGTTGGGGCCAGCAACAAGAGGCCACCTCGGCTACCTCTAAGAAAAGAGAGTCTCCTGGCAGTTTGTAGTTGAAGTATTGCCTTGCACTTTGGATGAATCGAGCTTCCGCCTCAACTCATGATCTACATAGGGATTATCGAAGTGATGTGCATCATGTATACGAATGCAATACATGACATAGGGAGGCAGGACGCAGAGGTTCCGGGGGAGCGAATTTAAAAAAAAAAAAAAANAAAAAAAAAAAGAACACGACAAAATGATTCCATTGATTGGCATCAAAATCCATGCAAGTACCTCCAAGCAGTAAACTAAAAATGATCATAGTACATACACATGGGCTGCTATCACGCTAGTTTAGCGCCCGCTGTGGGTCTCCATTCCCACTCCACACCTCAAGTGCTTAGCGGATGAGACGAAAATCAGCGCCCTATTCGGCTAGAGCCTCAATGATCCTCTTCTTCGTCACCCCCTAGCCCGGAATCTCTGCATTGGGTGTTGTTGCTAAAGCAGCCCTTTGGGTCGATATCAACGTCCTTGATTGCTTTTCACCCCCTCTTCTTGTTGGCCAAGCGTTAAAAACTGTACTCCCGTTGATGGGAAGATTAAGAGGGAGGGGGGCCGGGGTTTCCCTCTCTCGCTTTTCTGTCTTGATGATCGTCCGTATTCGGCGTTCGCTCAGCCCGGCCATAGAGTGACATAGCTGGTCAAGGTGTCATGTGGAATGATGTCAAACACCGCAGAAATTAAACGCACAAGAAGCTTGGTTGTCGCTTATCAGATGGTCATCAGGTGTTAGCAAGTCGCATATGTCGCCGGTATACTCTGTACGGAACTGCTTCTTCAATGCTCTGTGGTATCTGTGCTGGACCGTGATGTTTTTGACGTAGGAGATTTAATACAGTGCCGCCCTCCCAAGGTACCATAGTCCGGCAAAGGAAACGCAAGTGCGGGAATGGAGTCTCTCCGGGAGTTTCAAGCAAAGCCTCCCCACCCAAGAGCTGATTCGCATCGCAAAGCATGCACCATCTGTTTTGGCCTGATCCAATCCACCCCATCCGTCTTGCATACCACCCTTGCTTTCGCCATCCCCCACGAGAACAATATAGCCTGGAATGGGCCCGTGTAAAGTGGAGTGGTGCGAGTGACATGATCTGTGTTATCCGCACTTTGAGCCCATTGCCCAATTTGTGTAACAAAATCTCTAGTCTTGAGCAGCTGGAGCTGCTCAAGTGAACAATCCGATTGATCCTTACTCCCTTGTCCCAACCGATCTGCGCTATTCCATGTCGTATCCTCATGCAAATTCATATAGCCTGGTATCCGTGCGTTCAGACAGACTGTTCCCCCGTGTGCCGGTCGTCCCAATTCCAGTTCATGCAAAATGTATTTTCCGTACCGTCCTAAGCCTTGCTGCTCCGATTAAATCTTCAGCGAAAAAAAAAAAAAAAAAACAAGAAGCAAAGAAACAAAGACAGAACAAAATGCTGCACAGAGACGAAACCTCCACTCGGTTGGTGGAATCTGGTCTTGGTTTTGTTTCACCCCTTCCTCCTTCGAGCATGTAGAATTTCTGGACGTTGTGATGGGTTGTTTAGGATGTTTGAGAAATGGGGTAATAGCCTGCAGAGGTTGATTTGCCGTCATATCGGTTACAACCTGGGCCAAGATAGTTAGGTCCTGGAATGCACAGACTCGGCAGTTGCCCTTCGTTCTCGTGCTTCAGCCTCGATATTGACAAGTCTGAATTTCTGCTGAGAGAAGGTATCATTGTATCCTGGTCATTGCGCGGGAAGCAGGGAATGCCGCCGCCGTCTCTATGATCGTGGCCTTCGTAGATGGCACCAGGGTAGTATTGATATCCTTTGGTGTTGTCAATGGACTTGCATTGATCTGCCGACATGATCTGGTCTATTTGCATTTCATGGTGGCGGTGGTTGGTGCCGTAGTGGTGTGTTGGTCGAGTCTCATACGTCTGATTCCCGTAACTTGGAGTCAGAATCGATGACCCGCCGTTGTAGTCGGGGACCTGTCCTGAATAGCTCCCAAGCGTGCCACTGGAGCCACCAGGGCCGCTGCTAGCACTTCCTCGCCGCTCCGATTGATAATGGCCTGGTGAACGTCCACGGACGATCATTTTGGCGGATTTTCGGTGGGCGACCCTCAGCCACTGGTCGGCAACTCCTCTTCCCATCTCACCAACGTTGGCATGGAGTTCAATCACGAGATGGTAGTATTGCTGTGCTGCTCGCCGTTTGCCATTGTTGGCAGTCGCTTGTTTGAACTGTATGCGCTCAAATGTATGTTCGGTTGGATGTGCGCCCTGGGCTTGTGAGTAGTCTCCATACCCAGCGCCCATTGCGCCACCGCCAGCGAGACGGTTATACGCATACATACCCGCTCCAAGCGGGTGGCTGCTGGGCACAATGTGTTTTGGCGACAACTTGACCCTTTCAGGCTGCGAAGTAGGTCCCTTGTCACGCTTTGGTGTGTGCTGGACCAGATCAATCGTGTGTGCGTCGCTCTCAGACACCACAGCCGTAATGGTCATGGCGAAATCAAATACATCGTATGTTACGCCGGAAGCAGTCTGTGTGTATCGAATTGGAAGGTTGTGCAAGTTGGGGGGGTCGAGGCTGAAGGAGCAAATACACGAAAAGTAGTTTCGTCGGTAGCAGGTCCATTCTCCCTCGGACAGGAAGAAGCCTTTGTCAATGGTGCCCTGAATGTCGATCTTGTCGACGGGAGTGGGCTGGCTATGAGAGTTAACGTAGGTCAGATGACCATGAGTAGTCACGCTTTGTAGAGGCGGGACGTTGGTCTGGCCTTTGCCAGCATTGTAGTGGCTATTGTCCATTCTGATAGACGCCAAGGAGGCGGAATAACCAATGCTTGGACTGGGTGTGGGTGACAGCGGGTTACGCCGCACAGCTCCCTGAAACTGGGGCGACCTTTGGTTCTGATCTACTCTCGTGTATAAAGGTGGATTTTGTTGATAGAGGTTTCTTGTGCTATAGGATGCCGGGCTTGGTAACGATATGGGGCGTTGGCCCGGTGCCATGGGTGTAGATGAGTTGCTGCTACTACATACTCTGGTGAGCACTGTCGCGGCCGCATGGGACGGTCTCATCACACACAACGGCACGATGAGAGCGGTGCAACGTACCTTGAGCCTATGCGGTGCCTCGGGTCTATGCTGGGGAAACCTGAGGGATAGATTGAGCTTGCGTCGGGGGAAACATAGAGTGGTGCCGTGAAAAGAACTTGTGACGAGGACTGATTTTCTAATGTCAATGAGGTTGGATTTGAGTCCTGGCTATAGCTGTCAAATACATTATTAGCAGGAGATTCCTCCAAAGTGGAAGATCGTGAATTGCTTGTCAGACAGGCTTGTACAATAGGCCCTGCTATTGTCCCCCGTGCGAGTGCCTTTTTTTTTTTTTCAAGTACCACGAGTGGTGACACTGCCAACGCTCGAGTGTGACGGGGGCGGCGGGGATCGGGTCAGGTTCGTGGACCACTTTCCTGCAGCGAGGAGCGCATGTAGCACCTCCAAGGCTGTTGAGGACGCACACCCTGACACGCAGCGCCCCCGCACCTATAGAGATGTACAGCGGCGCATTCGGCGGCGGAATTTCATCTCAGGGGGCCACTTTCTGGGCAACCTGGGCTGGGGGACGTGGGTTCGTCTAGTCCCACATTACATTCCACGATCCTCGAACAAGGGGTCGAAGAAGGGGGGAGGGGGCCAACTATGGGGCTTTTTGATATGCATTCAAGGCGCGCAAGGCCGAGCTGCTCGTGTAGCAGTATCATGAGAATGACTCAAGAGAAGGGGGGGGGAAAAAGGCACAAGTATGTGGGTTGACTTGGATTGCTTCTTCTTACCTCATATCAGGTGCGTCTGGAATATTGATGTACTCCAGGCTATTGCAAGAGGCCGCCGGAGGCTCATAGGTCTGCTACAAGCATCCATATATATCAGCACGATGAGTAAACGACCAAGGCAGCCCTATCAAGGAAGTGATCCAAAAGTCCCGGGATAAGCTGCGTTATAAGGCTGTCGTCATTCTCGGAGGCCGAGCCCTCGAATATTCACCGAACGTCTGAGAGGGAGGAAAGTGATTCAATGTCAGCAATGCCTTATATCTTGAGAAATGAAAAAATACAAGCAAGAATTGAGATGTTCCAAAACTCAATGCATACTTGAGTACATGAGTGACTAGAGGGGAAGTCAACTGGACTACGCGCTCGACATGTAGTACATGTATAAACACAATGAGTTGCAGGTCGAGAAAAAACAGAACAGAGTACAGAGCAGGCATGTAGGTAGACAAGCAGGCTCTGGGGTGGAAAGACAAGGAACGGGAGGGTAACAGAAGGCGCTCAAGCATGCGCGGGAGGTGAGACTATGCTACTGGGGGGGCCAACACCCTTTTTGAGGTAACACAAGTAGTAGGTGGAAAGGGTGATTTGGGGTGCCAACACTTTTTTTTTTTTTTCTTGGGTTACTGTTGCCGCCTTTGATGAATGGTATATTGTGACCAAACTGGCTTTGCGCAACCTCATTGGGACAAAGTTATGATCCGCGACAGACTAGCACCTCAACGAAACCCGACGAACGAGGCATGAACGAGGGCAGTGAATTGTAAAACAAAGTCCTATGTTTTCAAAGTATGAGGAAAAGCAAGTAACTGACCTGTTGGTTGTGCTGCTCCGTGCCAGGAAGGGAAAGGATAAAGGGAAGCAAGAAGCCGGACGATGTTCAAGTTTATCGAGGCTACCCTCATCCGCTGTACGGGAGTGCAGCTAGCGCCGGGTGGCAGTCATGGACAAACGATGGGACTTGGATGCATCCGGCGCGGCGTGCGGATGCTTGGTGCTGGTTCCAGCCGGCTTCCAATGCGGCGTGCTGAACGAACGGGAAGCCTGGCTGAATGGTCTTGGTCGGGTCGGGTCGACGAGGGTTCTCTCGGCGGTGACGACGTACCGTTGGCGTTGATTTGTAATGTATGCAAACAACAAGAGAAAGGAAAAGGGGAAAGAGAGAAAGAGGGAAGAGGGAGAGAGAAAAAAAAAATAACAAGAAAACAAGAGTGCATTACCTTGGGGAGTGAGGAATTCATATGAATAGCGAGGTTGCCAGTCCCTCACGCGGAGGCGTCACCGGCCTTTGGGAGAACCTGCGAGGTCTGTCTGGTGTGAGGTGCTGCTGGTTTGTCTGTCTGTTCGGTCGGGCCAAACGGTCTGGTTCCGTTTCTGTGAACGGTCAGTCAGCACTTTTCATGCATGACAAGGGCCTCATTGGACCGTGTCGGCAGGGATGCTGCAAATCATCCATCCCACCCCCCCAGGCCGGGCCAGCCAGCCAACCCGCTAGCAATAGCAGCAAGAGCAAGTAGCGACAACAGCAAAAGCCTTGGGGAGGGGAGGGGGAGGGAAGGAATTTAAGATACATGGCTACCAAGCAGTAGGGTAGGTAGGGTAGGGTAGACGCAATGTATGTAGGTAGCTAGGTAGGTAGGTAGATGGGTAGGTAGTAGCCCAGGTAGGTGAGAAAAGAAGACGCAACGCGGGTAAGGCACGCACATGGGAGGGGCCCGCAAAGGGTGGTAGGTAAGGATGGTAATAATAATCCTGGGATCTGCCCTGAGCTGCGCCTTGCTGGAGACTTTGGACTCCCCTGCGCCGTCCTCGTCCAATCACGACACAGGATTGTGTGCCTCCTGCTTGAGAATAAGAACCGAAGGCTTGTTCCTCCTGGACAATTCCGTCGTCAGCAGATCCATTATCCAAAACATGGGGGGGCCGTCGATGAGTTTCGATGAGATGAATGGGAAAACACAAAAGCAGAGGGGAGGGAAGAGAGAGAAGAAGAGGGAAGAGGGGGGGGGGAAATATCGATCGTTTCGCACGGCGGTATTGATCTCTGCTTGCCCGATTTACTTTTGAACAGCTCAGAAGTCGTGCTGGTCAAAATACGAGCTACATCGCGTCTGGAGCCCAAAGATGAGAGAGAGTATGAAAAAGCCTTGTTTTCTGCAAAGCTCGTCTTGGCATCTTCCAGTGAGAGATCATCACCGGCGTGATACCCGACAGGCTCCTTTCCATTCGTTTCCTTTTCTCTCCCTCTTTCTTTCCCTCCCTCTCTCTCAGTCTCTCTCTCTCTCTCTCTCAGATGGTGGTGTACTGTTGAATCCCTCTCGTTACGCCATGTGGCTGCAGCGAGCGATCCGATAGCTGCAGGTGTTCGGGAAGACGATTGCACACTAACCCTTGTAAAACCCCTCCGAATACTTGCTGCGAGATGATCAGTACATACTATGTAGGCTGAGATGGTAGTCAACATCTGATTGAACGATGCCGACCGCAGGGGGAACACTGCGCGCCACAGCTGATCGCGACAAATAGGAAATGTGCTGGAGCTCAAGGCTGCCTGCGAGCTCGGAGTTGGAGAAATGGTGAGTGGTCGTATTTGTTGTAGCTACTCACCTTGCAGCGATTCGAATAATCACTTGTGGTGGTTATCCACAGGCGAGATCCAGGCAGCTTATAGTAAGCGAATCCTTTCCGCTCTGTGAGAGGAGAGTGTGCGCTCTCGGGGAGGTGTGGAAGTTTAATGAAAAGTATCCCCGCTTATCCGAACTGATACACTCAGGTCAAGAACGGTGGTTGTATGTGTTGTGCAAGAGCATGTATATGTTCTCGCGGGAAGAGTTGAGGGGACGTTCTGGTCAAGTGATCCGGTCTGAAGTCTGCCGGCAAATTCTGGATCCAGCGGTGCCTATATAGCCGGAGATATGGTCTCGATTCTACTTAACGTTGCGGTACGGGAAAGGGATCTGGGGAAGTATGTAAAGGAATCAAATATGAGAGAAAGAAAAAAAGAAAAACGGTCCAAGAATTGGGATACTTGTTCCACAAGTGGGATACGGATCTCTCGACTAAGAGCTCCAAATGGTACTGGGGAGAGAGTAGTCCAGGAAGGGTCGGTCCGGTGAGTGATTGACCAGATGAAGAAGTCGGAGACAACTTTGATCAAGCATCCGAGGCGCGAGAAGCGAGAGATCCTATTCCCTGTTTGGACTGGCCAGAAGGAAAGACGGTAGTGCAAGCTGAAGCCACTGAGACAGCGGCGGTTATCTGACAGTCGAGGAAAGTGTGGAGAGATAGTCTCGGTCTTATTATTGTCTTTTGGGTTTGATCTTTATGAGCAAAGAACTGCTGACCGAGGTAGATAGGCGATGGGGGAGAAGTAGATGCACAACCACTGAGTGAAGGGGGTAGTCATAAAACAAATGCGGGCGTGTGAAAAGAAAAAGCACTCCCGGAAACGAAGAAGAAGAAAAACAACATGTGGCTCTCCACTCGAAGATGCAGTATCTCCAGAAGAGCCTAGCCTTGGAATTCGACCACAGTACAATATCGAGCTGCACCCAACAGGAGATGAGCGAATGGGCGCTGTGTTGTGGATGTGCTCAGACGAGACAAGACGAGCGTGATGAGCGAGAGGGGGCCGGATATGAGGTGAGCTAAGGTGAATGACCAATGCCTTTTAGCAGTGTCATCAAGTATTTTGAGGCAAGGCAAGACTGGGAGGACCAGTAATGCAATGTAGGCACTAAATACAAGCAAGAAGATTGGAAGTATTTGCTTATCTGAAGGCATGCCTACATGACCTTCTCGATGGCTCTTGTCCTGGAACTTAGGCGCATTGGGCAGATGCTAGCCAGTGTTCTTTTTTAGCAATCAAGGCAAGAAGCCGTCGCGATGCATGGCCTTTCGCATCAGGTTGTTTTAGTTATTCCTAGGTCCACGATAGCTGTACCAAATGAGTCAATTCCACTCCTGACTGAC